GGGTTCAAAAAGACAAGTATTTGCTCTTCCACCCAACCAGTCCAACCACAGTTTATCTACAATGGTGGAATCGTTCATTCTAGGGACATCTCATCAAGTCAGCATTCAATGACCATTAACAGATATGTAATCATTTCATAACTTCTGTCAGCTCCGAACTGAATACAAAATTGTAATCTAGGCAGAAGCCGAAGTGATAACATTCGAATTCCATTAAAACACGTATCGATTCCTGCCAGCTCTATTTACCACTTTGAATGGGAGTGTCAATCATACTATTAAGATAATTTCAACTTGGCGTCGTGCGTATGCTTCTCTCCCCAGTGAGCTTTTCCACTGCCCTCCACCCTTCTGACAATATAAAACGACAAGTTACATATCAGAATCTCATAACGCGATGATATATATTCGGAATTTCCCTCGCTCATGTTTCCACGTCTTATACGGTGTTTTCGCACGCAATCCGATTGTTATTCCTCGCACAAATTTCGACTATGGCCGTGATTGTTAACACGGTGCGATCAAAGGCGGCGTAGCCCTAGGCACACTTGATTTCCCTTTGATGTTTTATATTGTCAGTCAGTGTCTGTTCTCTTGTTACCTCTTTCTTTTTGGGTGTTTATTCAAACCAGTGGAATTGGGAAATGGGATGAACAGAAGTCGGGAGTGAATGTGTTTTGTCAGAAGGATTCTATAATCGTCCAGGAGTATTATCTTTCAATGTTTGTAGTTTTTTTAGATCAATTGTGTTTTCTTCCTAAATCAATCCATTCTATGCATACACCTATCTAGGAGCTCTAGGGTTTTCCTCCTTTCCAGTGCTGCCGCTCGCAATTTTTGCTGCAAACTGACATTCTCATAGAAAAGGTACTGAAACGTACCGAAAGATGACAACAGATAAAATACATAGAGAAGACTGAAAAAGCGATGAAAACTTCAAGGGTGAACTCATTTCTGCATAGAATAATAGAAAAGGACAAGTCATGGCATTCAAACAAGGGGAAAACATGTCTAACTTTCAATCTATGCCCGAGGAGTTATGAATGTTTTCTCCCAGTTTTAACGCGAATGAACATTTCCTTGTACCACAGTATTTCAAGATGAGATAAATATGGTTGCCATGGGTACCTTGGTCAAAAACTTACGACACTTATGAGGTTCTTGTTCATAAATAATCCGTAAGAGGTGCTGATATCGTCATATTTCTAATGGTGATCGGATCGAAGAACAACAATCACGACAAAAAAATACAGAAATGGTGTGAGTAATTTCAGTTTTGATAGTGTTTAATGAGATTCTGATAATTGAGTTCCTATTTCCATATTGAAGAGAATTCGTACAACGACATCTTATAAGAATAATATGAAACGAATATTGTGATTTTCAACTGTTTATTGTCGTCCAGTTTGGGCAAAACAAAAGCGCTTCAATGCAAACACCATATTAATTCAATGCTATAAACACTTCATATAGGAATGGTGTCACAGTTCAGCTTCAGCTTCTTGACATAGCAGAATACTTTAATAAAATGGGCTCGTTCACAAAAAGTTGGGGAAGTGACAGTGGCAGCTTCATTCAATTGGATTTCAGGTGTACATCTTCTGGAAATCACATATTTCACTAGTGATTTTACCACTAATATTCTGCACACAGCATAGCACCAATTTATATTCATGTTCTTAATATTTTATGTGCTTCTGTCAAACAGTCTGAGCCTGTTCCGCGAAAAGACAGTGTGGTTTGACTGGTTCGATACAGAATTCCTAGTTCTATGACCTTGACATCACGCACTTTCTGATAAAACGACCAATGAGATGAGAATACGCTATAAGTTTAAAAGCGAAATGCTAGCATGTGAACACACCATCACACACCGGTACCGAATTCAGTACAAAAGTACCGAAACGGCAGCACTGCTCCCTTCAGCGTAAGAAATCTGATTCTTGTCCGTTGTTCTCTGCTCTTCTTGTACAAGGCCGTATATTTTGACCCCTACCTACAGCTTTGACTATACGAGGTTGTAAAAAACAAATATAAAAGTTGTAGGACTTCACCTGTACTATATCATTTGGCATTAGCCAGGAAAGTAGGTAGTTGTTTTTCTTCCGTTTTCTACCACTATTGTTCATTAGGTATATGAACATTTGTGGAAATTTCTTTGAGTTTTTGTGTTCGATTCTTGAGATCTTCTCATTTTGGTGCTTTTGTTTTGTAATTTTGCAGAGCTTTTTATGGCTCTGCTCGAGCTATTGGTGAAGCTATCACATTCAAATTTGGCCTGTATGTTCGGATGGTGAAACTGAGTGAAGTCTTCTAGGGCTTCTATTCAGGTATAATCCCTCAGATGAGTTTCGAGTTCACTGATGCCAAAGCGAATTATTCTGACAACTAAATATAGTTTTGATAAATAGTCACACATTGATTATCTTAAGGCTGATATCGAGATTTATGTACGCTAACCATGAATATCAGTTACTTGTCTCGACTTCCGGTATATAGTCTCTTTAAGATAACACCGTACATTTTTTATTGCCTTCCCTTGTTTGGAGAAATATGCCATATCTTTCGCGCGATTTATTCTGCTCCATCGTCATCCCAGCACATCAGAATCGGGATGCATTCAACTGCAAAAGAACAACCCCGAGAAATACCCATTTTGTTCGAAGGATCGAGCGGGCTGCGGAAAGGATTCTCTTGTCGGTTTCCGCGCCGGCGAACCGCCAAACATGGCCGCGGAAACAAAAGCTAGCGGAGCGGAAATACTGCGTGCCTGCCTTTGTGTTCTGCGTGTTTCGCGACTTTTGTGTTCTACGTGTCTCGTTACGTCATATGGTTTGACTGGTGACGAACATAAACCACTAGGTGAGGTGGCGCTGACATGCGAATCAAATCATCAATTCAAGTTATCTGGAAGAGGGATGTTGATTATCATTCAAAGAAGGCAAGACGCGAAGGTTTAGAATTGTTTCTCAAAACGGCTCTAAGACACAATATTCTTACCTCACTTTGTTATTTCCTTAGATCTCGTACCTTGGTATATATATGATTACTTGTTCAGATTATTCGGAATGCTTTTCTACGCTACCACAACCACATTAATGGAATACATTCAAAGCTAGTTTTTGACGATTTCCAAACGAATCTGATTAGATGGAGTATGTTGAATGGAATTGAGTTGAGACCCATAACGGAAGGATGTGCTGACTGGGCCTGTCGAGTTAGTCTGACTGGTATAGCTATTGATTATGAAATGATAGCAAAGATTCATGAGGAATATTTTCCGTGAAAGTATTTTGATAGAGAAGTGAATGGTCGCAGACTTTTCTACGGTGTTCTAATGAGGTCAAAGGATTAGTGAGTGTGGCATCACCTACTAGGAGAATGATGGCTTTTCTCGGGATGGGCTCTAAGAGCATCAGCGTATGTTTGGGTGCGGCACCCCTTTTGAGAGAACAGTATTGTATTGGCCGTATCTGTGGTTTGTAGATCATCAGAAGCTGTTGAGGTGTAAAATAGGTTTTTGCACGAAATAAGATTGATCCGTGTTTCTGTGAAGCAGCTTTCGCGATGGATCGGACAAGATTTTTCCATAAAAGAGTATTGCTGATGTAAATACCGAGCATAGATATATTATTGGTCTTGGTGGAAATGGTGGTACTAGACATTGTTATATCAGGCAAAAGCGTTATTGTCTATCATCAATGATTCCTACTCTTTCCAGATGTTTGATGAACTCAATGTTGATGGCTTCCTCCATCACTTTGGAAATGACTGGTAACAGGGCAATTGGCCTATATTTGTTGAACAGACTTTCCTGTTTTGGGGAACGATTGAACTCTAGCTATTTTTCAGCAAGATGGAACTTGCAGCGAATCGGTGTCAATTCTGGTGCACACTTCTTGAGACCGATCAGAATGCGTCTGATAGTGCGTTGACGAAAGACAATTTTGGGCATTCGACTTTCAACGGGTGGAATGTCTGGCGGCACTCTTCCCTGGGAATCTTAGGTCTTTCTCTGGCGATGTTGTTGCTAATGTGCTGTCGGCTTTGAAGAGTGGTGAGAATGAAAGAAATATCTTCCGACTGCTTCAGCGAGAGACCACAACGAACGGGACCCATTGGAACGATCTATGACTTTCGAACTTATTTTGGCATTGTATGGTTCGTTTGATGCATCTATTGTTTAGCTGCAGTTATTTCTGGCTTCAACATGATCTGCTCTAGTCACGTGGTTAGAGTTCTTGCGCCAGTGATGGTAGGCTGTTTCTTCCAAATGGCAACAGCTCTAAAACAGCTCTTGATGAACCCGGGTTTCGAAGGTGATGATCTTTCCGAAGAATGGGGTATGTATGTGTCCATTCCAAGCGTCATGAATATTTCGGCAGCACACTGTAAAATATCTTCAGAATCAAAGCATATTTTATGCCGAAGAAACTCTGACAAAAAACATGCGGAGACGTAGAAGAGCTAGAGCAGTTAATGGAATGAAAAATGCGCACGTTTCGAAGATGAATGTGTGATTGCCAATTGGAGCTCGTATATCTATAGAATGAGGTGCTGAATTATTAGTGAGGAATAAGTCAAGTGTATTATGAATGGTTATTGAAATCGGAAAATTCTTGTGGGTTCCTTGATAAGCTTTCCTCCAAGCCGTTAGTGATATCGAAAGCTTCGGCTTGTCGCCCAGCTTCATTCGTATTGTTGGAGTGTACGAGCCAAGCAGTGTTGTGTACCAGATGAACAACTAAGAACGGCTGTCGGCGTGATTTGGAGTATCAATAGATATCGTGAATTGAAATTGTACTGTATGCATATTATCACACGATCAAATAGAGAAACTAAATCTCAACAGACCAACGAAAACTGCAACATGATAGCTCTTCGCCAACGAAAGAATCAAAGTTGGAAAAAGGATTGATGACAGTCGTTCTTAGTTGTTCACCCGGTACATTGAAATCGCCAATGATGATGATTTCTACAGGTCTATGATTTTGTTTCAGGTTATGGAGCCAATACTCTCTCCGGGATGACGAAGGCATCATTAGATCCTCATGGCCACCTCAGACAGCCAGGTAAGCAATAATGCTTAACAAGTCCTTCAGAATTTACAAAGATATTGAAACTTTTCATATTTGAAAGTCTTGTGAACAAATGGAGCTCCAATGGGAAATCGTACTAATTATAGAAACCAGTTTTTCGAATTGAAACCTCGAAAAAAACAAACCTGAAAAGATGTACGAATGTACGATACGATGGAAGGGAGTTCCTGTTATTCACATCTTCCTGATAATATATGGTAAATTATATGCACATGTTGCGGAATGTATACAGGATGTTATCGATATAAATTCATAAAATGAACACAACAATATGCTTTAGTCTAACAAAATGTTGCAAAATATGTGATTCATTCATAAGCCTTCGGATTAATGGAAAATTTCATCTCGAGAATTGAACAAAGAATAAAAAAATCGAGAACGCTACTTCATAGCTATTGGAATCCTAGTGACTGCCGTTCAATGAAAATTCAGTTTTCGAATTTCTTACTGAAGTTGTTTCTTCTTATATCGAGGAAGTGTTCATCGGTGTTGGGGTGTGAAAATTGAAGAAGAACTTTCAATCATTCAATCCTGAAGTTTAACCTTCACTTTCGACCATTCTAGTGTATGTAGTATTTCTGTTGAGCTTTTGAGCTTGTGTGTGATGAAGTGCTTGCATTTGGTGAGTCGACTTTGAAATATTTGCATCATCCAATTTGATCGTTCATCTAAAGATTCTCTTCAGACCATTGTGCTGGAGATTAGTAGTTGTTTTTCAGTAGTTTAGTACTGATTTTGGTATGTCTCTATCCTATTTCAGTGATTTTAGACCGTTTACAACGTACTCTATGCTTAACGGTGGCTATTACTTCCAGTTTTATATTTTCTCGATGACTAATATTTTTCTATGAATAGGTATATTAGTGATAAGATCCAATTCTGAACCTAACTTAGATCTGAGAGACATTTACTATTGAACTTACCATTGAAATGTGTTGCAAAAGTGTAGAACCTGGTCATATGAGTGGAATTTTCACTTATAATTTCTCTAGCAGCAGAATCAATACCGTTAATTTTATGCAAGGTCATGAATATTTTGTTGATGAAAATTATCCCGAGTGGACTTCTGAATGAATTTATGAAATTTTCAGTATAAACATCTTGGAAATGTGTCCCAGTTGCCCCACCTTCCGTTACCAGGAGTGCACAGTAGCTCCCTACATGCGGAATATTGAATTCCACCCTATTGGATAGGCCTAGTCTAGTATACGAAAAAGATTTTTCGCAAATCAATGTCGGACTCCCGGAGTCTGTTGACACAGCAAAGTCGTGCATTACTGCAAGTAGTCCTGGGCAAACACAGCGCGATGTGTGGGCAAATAAAGAAGGCAATTTAGTTTAGTCATATGTGAACATTTGCCCGGTCGATGTGTTAGTATTAAGAAAGAGTGCCCTCGATTCATTAGACGATAGAAGCCGGATCAAGGGTGGTCGATACGGTTTATTTGGACAAGGTCCTGGACAGGATTGCATTGAGTGGACGAGATGGCAGTTGAAAAATTCTACTCGCAGGGGTAACTAGGTTCTAACGATTTCAATCACATTGGCCAGAAAAGTGAAAAAAGTAACATTCGAAAATAATCGAAAAATCCACAGAGATTAATATATGTGGGTGAGCCAAATTGGACACTTTCAAAGGGAAAGTCCTATTTCCAAACCAAATATAGACGAAAACTGATGTCGGTGTCGGAAGGTCGGAAGGTTCCTGGGTAACAGCATGTTTTCTGAGGATGTGCATTTTCGAAAACGGGCTATAACTTTTTTCCTGTTGAGAATTCTTTGTTTCTATGAAAACATTTCCGAAGTACTTTTTTACGTAGAATTCAATAGTATAAGTGATTCATGTTTTTAAATTATATATCAATAGTTATTAACCGAGATTTTTCAAATGGGACAACTTGTATATTTCTGTATATTTCAATTCACCTCAGAATTACTATTCCAAAAATATTGCACACATGATGTTTTGCATCTTTGAAATACAGTGCTTTTGAGTTTTTAGATGCGACGATAAAAGAGAAGGCGAATGTTCATTGGTAGCTGTCAAAATTTTGAGAAAGCTGTTCATTGCAGTGCTTAACTCTAAGTTCAACTCAACTGAACTGGGAACAATTCTAACTATATTCAAAAATAATAATAAACAACGGGCGTCGCCCTAGCTTCTCAGGTGAGGCTTCGATATCTGAAGTAAAGGATAGAGTCCTCTTACGACTAATATCTCAAGAGATCAATAAGCTGGACCTTATACCAAAGGAGCAGTTCGGGTTCCGCAAGGGACACAGCACTGGGTTCCGCAAGGGACACAGCACTGTGTCCCAAGTGGCCCGAATTGTTCATGAGGTTAAGGAAGCCAGCAACAATGATAAAAACACCGTTCTGGTCATGATGAACGTAGAAAAGGCCTTCGACACCGTCTGGCACGAAGGTTTAATGGCCAAGCTGCATAAGGCAAGAGTGCCGATTTTTATCATTAAAATTATCAAGGTCAAAGTCAACGAAAGTAAATCGGGAGATTTTCCACTCGAGGCAAGTGTTCCGCAGGGATCTTGCCTCTCACCTTTATTATACACACATTATACGCACGATTTCTGTGTATTCGAGCGGACGAACACTGCACTGTACGCAGATGACACAGCGATCTATGCACACTCGGCCGACTCGAATATTCCCAGACAGCAAATCCAGATTCATCTGGACAGGAGAATCGTGCCATACTTTGACGAGTCAAAGATCTGTATAAACAGCTCAAAATCCAAAGTCATCAACTTCCATCAGAGATTCAAGGAGTCGAAGCTGAACAGACCTTTTACCGTCAAAGGTGTCGAGGTGAGGGACACGGTCCCTGTGAAATACCTGGGGGTTAAACTGGACACTCGTATGACATTCAGGCCCAATATCAATTACGTGATCCAAAAAACACAAACACAACACCAATGGTGATAGATACTCTCGAGTGGCAGATCTCCACGAGAGATGTGGTAATTTGCCAAGAATCAACGAATTCATTCTTAAAATATCAAACAAATTCTACAAATACCACATCGCTGGAAGTGACCTTACCCGGAACATTACCACACTACGCCAACACCATAACATACGCAAGAAACACGGGCTGATATATGCATCAACCAATGTGTTCAGAGAACCTGGTGATCTATAGTTGGGATCCCTCCCGGATTCTCGGGAATACCCGAGACGCCGGGGGGTCTAGACAAGACTATCTCCTAAGCAGAAAAATAAAAAAGTGACATGGGCGTGAGAAATCACTACCGGTCACTGAACTCGGGCAGATGTGCCGCACGAAAGTGTGGTACAACTGCCCGAGCAGAACAAGAAGGAGGTTTTTGATGGTTTTGCCAATTTTTTTCTACTTTTCCTCCAAAAACAAGTTAACCCACCCACATTGATCGCGACTGAACAGCTCCCCCACCCTCTTGGGTACCCTCAGCGAGATTACTTATATAAAGGGCCTAGCCCTAGGAGATAGGTATCTGTGACGAACACCTCGCATATCCACTCACATTCCCTGGCCAACACCAGCCACCTCTGCGCCAAGCGGAGGGATATACACACATATAGATGTGCTAACATAAATAGAAATGTGTGTGATAATATGTGTTGTATTGTGAAAGAATTGTAGATGAATAAATGATTTTAATGTGTGAAGTAAAGCAGTGTCGAGCGCGGTTAGTACTTGGATGGGTGACCATTCGAGGAGACGCCGCGTAAGCCCGTACATCTGTAGCGGAATAGCATATCATATAGCTACAGATACTACGAAGGCGCTGAAGGGCCACCTATACTATTTTTTTTCGAATCCCGACTTTAAAGTCGGACCCCCGACTTTAAAGTCGGGGGTCCGAGATTAAAGTCGGGGGTCCGACTTTAAAGTCGGGGGTCCGAGATTAAAGTCGGGGGTCCGACTTTAAAGTCGGGGGTCCGAGATTAAAGTCGGGGGTCCGACTTTAAAGTCGGGGGTCCGAGATTAAAGTCGGGGGTCCGACTCAGACCCATTCTATGATATCATATATCATTGAATTCGTCTTTCTTAGCTCTATCCAAGAATGAAATTGAATACATTCGAAAATTCCGAGAAGATGATCGGTTTGCAAAATACGTCATCACTTTTGTTTAATTCGAATATCCTCAATATTGACAAAATATCAATATAACATATACAGGGTGATCCACAGTGGATGGCCTATTAGAAGTATCTGGAGATCGAAAAGACAGGACATTCTGAAAATTGGGATTCTTCGATAATTGAACATTTTCTATCCGTCTAAGATATTTTCATCAATACAGTGTTGCCGCTTCTATCAGAAACAACTAGCAACTTCGCTATTTTGAATGGAGCACCCTGTATTTTATTGCATTATTAGATCCTTCATGAAGAGCTGATTTCATCGATGCATCACACTTGTGGTCTAGCAGGAATTATTACAGAGATATAGGGTGTTCAAAATCTAGAATTTTGAATTCCAGGATTTTTTTGTGTCGAAACTATTCATTATCGATCAAAACGGCTCACATGTCCCTATCTCAACTTTTGATTCACTATCTACTGACATTTAATCGGAACAGATACAGGGTGATCAGAATTCTGAATCTTGAAGCACCCTGTATTTGTTCCAATTAAATTCCAGTATTCAGTGAATCAAAAGTTAAGATAGGGACATGTTAGTCGTTTCGATCGATAATGAATAGTTTCGACACAAAAAATCCTGAAATTAAAAAATCTCGATTTTGAACATCATATATCTCTGTAATCATTCCTGCTAGATCCCAAGATTGATGAAATCAGCTCTTCAGGAGGAATCTAATAATGCAATAGAATACAGGGTGCTCCATTCAAAATAGCGAAGTTGCTAGTTGTTTCTTATAGAAGTGGCAACACTGTATCGATGAAAATATTCTAGTGGGATAGAGAATGTTCAATTATCAAAGTATCCCAATTTTCAGAATGTTCTGTT